TCCAAGCACATGACCGGAGATGCATCCAAGTTCCTACAAATCAAACCCGCTAAAGGAGGAAACGTAGTTTTTGGAGACAACAGCAAAGGAAAAATAATTGGGGTCGGCTCAGTAGGTAAGTCCGAAGACTCGTCCATAGATAATGTCTTGCTTGTTAAAGGTCTTAAACACAATCTCTTGAGCATAAGTCAATTATGTGACAAGGGAAACCGTGTGACCTTCGATTCAAAATCATGCACTGTAGAACGCCTTAGTGACAATAAGGTCATTCTACGTGGTGATAGAATCGATAACATTTATATGGTTAACTTAGACAAATCTCCTTCCGGCTTTGCTAAGTGCCTCATGAGTAAAGAGGAAGACACTTGGCTATGGCACCGAAGGGTAGCTCATATGAACATGAACCTTTTGAACAAATTGGTTTCACAAGACTTAGTAATTGGCATCCCAAAACTTAAGTTTGAAAAAGACACCATATGTGATGCATGTCAAAAGGGGAAGCAAGTTCGGGCTTCGTTTAAGTCTAAAAACGTTGTTTCAATGTCTAGACCGCTTCAACTTTTGCACATGGATCTCTTTGGTCCCTCTAGAACGAAAAGTTTTGGTGGCAATTACTTTGCATTTGTGATTGTCGATAACTACTCTAGGTTTACATGGACCTTGTTTCTAACTCATAAAAGTGAGGCATTTCATGTTTTCAAAAATTTCTTAAAGAAAGTTCAAAATGAAAAAGAGACAACCATAGTAGCCATAAGAAGCGACCATGGGGGAGAGTTTGAACGAAATCTGTTTTCAGATTTGTGTGACGAACTTGGCATTGATCAAAACTTCTCAGCCACACGTACACCACAACAAAATGGAGTGGTGGAACGTAAAAATAGATGTCTCGAAGAGATGGCTAGAACTATGATCAATGAGGCAAAAATCCCTAAGTATTTTTGGGCAGATGCCGTGAGTACCGCGAGCTACGTGTTAAATCGAGCCGTCATTCGACCGATACTCATGAAAACGCCCTATGAGCTATACATAGGGAGAAAGCCAAACCTCTCCCATCTTCGAGTCTTTGGCTGCAAATGTTTTATTCACAACAATGGCAAAGACAATTTAGGCAAATTTGATGCCAAGTCGGATGAAGGAATTTTTCTGGGTTACTCATTACATAGCAAGGCCTATAGAGTCTTCAATAAACGTACTTTGACTATTGAGGAGTCTCCTCACGTTGTATTCTCCGAAGATAACCCTCGCTTGGCGAGAAAGGAGATTTGTGATGATCTTGCAGAATCATTAGAAAGAATACATGTTGATGACGATGAAGACAACACCGGAATATACATCAACACACAGTCGCAAACTGAGGAGATACCTCAAACGACTAACCAAGGTGAGGAAGAAAATCAGGAGGAAGAAGAAGGACAAGAGGAACACGAAAAAGAAACAACCGAGCTTCCCATAGCTTGGAGAACGCACAGGAACCATCCACTTGACCAGGTAATCGGCAGCATCAACCGCGGGGTAAGTACTCGTAACTCTCTTAGGGACACCGTAGGACACATGGCTTTCGTATCTCAAATTGAACCTACAACCATTTCCGAAGCAATAAACGATGAACATTGGACCTTGGCTATGCAAGAGGAGCTAAACCAATTCAAACGAAATGACGTTTGGGAATTGGTGCCAAGACCTGATGATCGTACGGTTATTGGTACGAAATGGGTGTTCCGTAACAAACTCGATGAAAATGGAATAATCACTAGAAACAAATCTAGGCTCGTAGCTAAAGGCTACAATCAAGAAGAAGGCATTGATTTCGAAGAAACTTATGCACCTGTAGCACGTTTAGAAGCTATTCGTTTACTTCTTGCTTTTGCTTCGTCTATGGATTTTAAGCTTTATCAAATGGATGTTAAGAGTGCCTTCCTCAATGGTTTTATTCAAGAGGAAGTGTATGTTGACCAGCCCCCGGGGTTTGAGGACTTTGAGTTTCCCGATCACGTCTTCAAACTCAAGAAAGCACTCTACGGTCTTAAACAAGCACCACGTGCTTGGTACGAACGTTTGAGTAAATTTTTTTTGGATAGTGGTTTCCAAAGGGGAAAGGTTGACACTACACTTTTTATCAAGAGTAAAAACAATAACATCCTTTTGGTTCAAGTTTATGTAGACGACATTATATTCGGTGCTACTAACGAGTCTTTGTGCAAGGAATTCTCAACGTTAATGACAAGTGAATTTGAGATGTCCATGATGGGTGAGCTTACATTCTTTTTGGGACTCCAAGTCAAGCAAATGAAAGATGGCAC